GGATGTGGAACAATGCTGCACCTTGTGTGTGTGACTGGCAGCCTGCCTGGCTGTGCAGAGACAGATTATCCTGTCTGGACTTATGTGACTTTGGACGCACATCAGTCGATCCTGCTTTCTGTTGTCTGGTTTCAAACGAGTGAGACAGGGCAGAGCTGTGTGTGGTTGTGTGTGTGTGTGTGTGTGTGTGTTACCTTGAGGACAGCAGCAATGATGAACACGGACTGGTGCGAGATGTCTGGGTCCTCAGTCCCACTGTCCAGTCTGTCCCGCAGCTCCCGGCAGGCTTTGGCCCCGGCTGACCGCCTGAAGACGCCCCTGGTGTAGGGCCCCTCCAGGTACAGGAACACCAACATGTCCTGGAGGGAACAAGGAAAAGAAAGATTACACACATAAAATCTCTTCATACTAACTTTTCATCAATATTCTGAAAGGAGCAGCAATTAAGTAAATTGATCTGCTCATTCCCTGTTTGCTTGGTTTATTGCGGGTTCATCGTTTCCTAAAATCAGAATTTCTCCAGGACAAATGTGATGAATCTGTCTGACTTATTTCCTGCAGCCTCAAATGGGTTTTCGTTATTTACAAAGAAGAAGAAGAACTCGACGGAGATCCAGTTTGGCCTTTTTAAAATGGTTCTCTGCAGCACCATATCATCGGAGAGGAAACATTTTTTTTCCGAGTGTAGAGTCTGAATTGCTTATGCAACAGATGGGGTTTCACTTCTCTGGTAATTCCAGCAACTACTTCTGTCTTTAACCTGACCCATTTATGTGAGCCATACACAACAGTCTAAACATGAGCAGGTGGCGAGTGTCATTAATTAATTCATAATGCAGTGATCTTATAGTAGCAGTACGCAGCGATAGAGCTGCAGTATATCAAACAAAAGCTCCAAAACATCTAGAAATGAACCGACTTCCTCTTCCCCCTCCGCAGCTACCATACACTGTCGAGCCCCAAATCATCCCGTGACCCCCTCCAGACAGGGTCCTGACCCCTCCTGCTGGCGTACATGACCCTCCACTTGGCTCACCATGACAGGCTTGGGCAGGCCGTGGTCGGGAGAGCAGATGGAGCTCAGGGGTCGTCCGAACAGCCGTCCCTGAGTGGGAGAGAGCGAGGTCGGGGACAGGGGCAGGCCGTCCAGCTGTGTGCTGGAGCCTCTCCAGAAAGGCCAGTTGATCAGAGACCTCTTCCTCTTAAAAGACTTCTGCTGACCAGGTTCTGCGGGTAAGACGGAAGAGGAAGAGGTGAGCTGTGGCTTCAGATTGCGCGCAATATCCAGCAGTGCTTAATGAGTCACCACCTCACTGCAAAACTGTGACATTCTTTATGTAATGTTTGTTTTTTTGTTATAATGGCTTTAATTTTCTTAGCACCTGATTTGTTAAGGAGCCAGCCTCGAAGTCATGCACATGAACACAGCATAATGCAAAGAAATGAAACTCATATATACGGCGAACTGATCTGCTAAATTTCAGAAACATAATTACATCCTGAAAAAAAAGTGATGAAGGTGTGGGTGAGACATAGAGACAAAGATGGACAGTGTGAAACAGAGAAAGACACCAGAAAAGGCAGAAGAAGAAAGAACCATTGATTCAGTGTTTGAGAGAAACATATGTAGACCTGCCCTCACGCTCCAGAGAACCATTTAATTTGAAGTGTGTCTCTGTGCGCGCCGGTGCGTGTGTGTGTGTGTGAAATGACATCTATGGAGCCCTCTGTGTGTGTCTTACGGCTTATGACTGTGTGTTCCTTGTTGAGGGCTCAGTGGTGCCAGGTCACAATGTCTACCTGTGTTGTGTTTGTGTTTGTGTGTTCGTCTGCAGGTGAGTCTTCTCTGTGTCTACGTGTTCTCTCTGACAACAGCTCAGTGTGTTTCTGCAGTGACGTTCTGCAGACATGTTAATGAGAATGTACATTAAGTATTTAATGTTTTAAAAAAATGACTTAAACCCAACAAATTCTAGCAACGTTGATTTGCAAACATTCGTGAAATGATAACATTGATGTTATTAAGCGACTGTGATTTGTATCTAAGGGTCCCACCCTTAGATACTCTCTCCCAACAAACGGAGGATTCTTTCAGTGGGTGGAGGACCCAGCAGCACCAAACAGGGCCCAAAAAAATATGTGGCATGCCTCACACAGAATCCATTATTTAACAATCTGCCGTGGCGTCATGCCCTAATACACTCTGGAACAAAGTTCAGCGGTAACAGAATTACTGGTGTGCTCTGGCACCTCTCAGCAGGCCTCGCCATCGCTGAGAAAACATCACCTCGCTGTAAATCAGGCGTTACATCATTACAGCAGTCAGGGAATAGTTTCAGAGAGGAGGAATGAGGAGACGGAGACAGACTGCTTGTCAACTGGGTGGGCAATGTCTGTCATGCTACAGTAACCTTCTGCTGGCGTGTTACAAAACAGGTGCTACATGGAGTATTTCTCCTCATGGGCAATAAAACACAAGACCAGGCACGACTACTTTAGCCGAGTCTTCATACAATCAGGTCAATGTTGCTTTCTCTTCTTAACCTTAACCAAGTCGTTCTTGTTTTAACCAATCCGGCTCCTTTATCTAAACTTAAAGGAGCTATATGTAAGTTTTGCTATCACTACATAGTCATCGTTAGCATTAACAGCTGTTTACTTACCAGTCTAGAAGAAACGTTACGAGTTCAGCATCAAACTTCATTCCTTCACTTGTCAAGAGCTGTCTCCAGTGGTTGAAATCAACTTTCGTGTTTTGCTTCTATTTCTGTTACTTCTTTTCTTCTACTGAGGTTAGCATGTTAACCAGCTAGCTAACCCTGGCCCTGTCGGACCATCTCGTCTTTCTTCAGGCTGCCCTGAAGAAGTGGCGCTGCTCAGAGGATTAATCTTAACATCTTGTCTTGTAAACCCAACGATGGCTGAAGCTCTTGGAGAGACTGGTGCGTAAACAGCTGTTAATGCTAACATTAGCTATGTAACAATAGCAAAACTTACAAATAGCTCCTTTAACCAAGTCGTTGTTTTACCTGCCACTTTAACGCCACATCAGAAAACTTTGTTTTGGCTGTCAGTACCCTACTTCTTGATATTTTTACACAACCAAAATAAGTAAAGTAGGTCCTCTTCCTATGCATGAAACAAACTTTGATAGATTCTCTTAGATTCTTCCACATTGACCTGACTTAATAAATTAAAACTGCCATCCAGAGCATGAACCACCTGGACGTCTGGTGGTGATCAGGCTCTGTGGGATGTGAGAACAGGGAGACTTCTGACCTCTTCCAGGGACGGACAAGCTAGTTTTACGGCTAATGGAATAGGAAGAGAATAGACCTCTTGCCACGAGTGAGTATGCACCATCTTTATTTTGAATATCTGGCATAATTATGGGCTGTGAGCAGGCTTTTTTTTTGGTACCAGTTAAAATGTGTTGATAGCCTCAACTATTGAGCACTATCAGGAGTGTTGAAGAATGAACACCTGAAAAGGGGGCTTCTACCAGGACTACCCTCAACACACATGCACACACACATGTTCATTAGCTTTCGAGTTTGGGTGTGAGCGATTAAGCCTCTATGGCGGTCCGGCTGGTATGGAGTGATTATGTAAGATGCTGTTATGCTTGAGCAAAGGAATCTGAGGCGAAGCTTGTGGTTGGCAAACTGGAGCCTCTTTGACTGGAAAACACACTTTTTCTTCTCAACTTGTTTTCCTTTAAAACTCATCTCGTCCTTTTTCCATCCCGCTCTCTGCATCCGCAGCTCGTCCTCGCTCCTGTCTTCCGTCCTCTTGTTTTTATTTCTCCTCCACCTCCTTTTTCTGCCCCTCTAATTTTTGAGGTGCCCTTTTCAGTCTGCCCCTCTGTAAATTCCTCTTTCTCTATCTGTTGTAGTCTGTTGTTTCTTTTTCCTTCACCTCCACTGACCTTCAGATTTACTCAATAGCTGTGTCACCTCTTTTCACTTTCCATCTTCCTATTCTCACACTCATCCGTCCCTTCTGGGGTTTCTTCCCCTTTGTCTGGCTGATGTTTTTCTTATTCTGACACTGCGTCTGTCCTAACCCCTGCTGTAACCCCTTGTCCGCTAAAATCTCCTTTCCCACCGTTCTCGATGACTCCTTTTCTTCTTGTTCGACTATTGATTCATACTCAGAACCAACAACACGACTGTACGCCTCTGAGTGTCGAAAACCAACACAAACAAAGTGAAATGGTTTATGTAAGAAAAACAAATTCTGAGGAGGTACTTTCTGTTCTGCATTAATACTTCTGTATCCTCATACTTCTTCCCGTGGTTTCACAGAGCGAGATTTATGGATGGATTCTTGACATTGACCAACCACCTACTTGGAAACCACAACTGTCATATTGAGGAAAACACTCATATTTTTCAGACACACCGGTTATAAATAAAATAAAATGAAATAAAAATAAGGAGATTAACTTTTAAAGTTTTCAGTTTGGAAGCAGTTTTGCTCATTTTCTTCACAGAAAAAATTTGTTTTTATCCAAATTAGACCCAAAAAATAAAATAAAATAACAGCATGTCGGCTTCCCTTGGCCAGATAGCGTCAGAGACGGTTCACTGATATTAACATGAACATGCTGCAGAATTTCTTGGTTTTAAAGTCGCCCACATATAAAACTGACCATGATTCTGAAATATACTTTTGTTCTGGAAAATGTCTCATGACTCCCCAAAACGTCATCATCGGCCTTACCTATAAGTTGAGCCTGTCCTGGGGCAACCTTGCTGGGTTTGAGGATGAACTGGCACTGGGTGTCCGGAGGGAGACACTGGTCCAGCAGCAGCACCCCTGGACAGTCTGTGGGGCTCGTTGGATCCCTCCCTACTCCTCCTGCTAGTCCTCCACCACTGCTCCCGCCGTCCCGAATGTGGCTCATCTTGATGCTAAAGGGAAACTCGTGGCCTGAATGAGAGGTCAGGGCCCAGAGGTTAGAGGGGAAGGGTCTGGTATGCGCATGGTCTGTGCATATCACATGGAGCCAAAGTAAAAAATCTGATCCAAATTAGGGCAGAACTAGCGTTGTGCAATGACAAATCACTAATCTGGAGTTGGGATGTTAGGAATTCAGTGTGAACTACAGAACAAAAGATTATGGTAACAAAATGTCACTGAAATACCGCTGTGTCACAAAACTAACTGCTCTGAAATGTTCCCAGATGTTGAGTTTTTGGCGCACCACTTCTGTTTGTTCAGTAGTGACCCCCCACTATGGTTATTCTCTGAATTAGAACTGCCTGTTCAGCCAAAATATTCGTTGTGGGAGGGATGAGACAGGATGTTTTTTGTTAGACTTTAATGAACATACATGTGTTTTCCTAAATGTTAAACCGCACCATGAGTGAAGATGAATTCGTTTCTTAAAAGCATCTTGAAAGGAAAAAGATTTCGATTTCTTTCTTTTTATATCGCTCACTTTTTTTCTGGTTGTGTTTTATCGAGAAGGTTTTACATAGTAATGTCTACAACAGGTGGGCTCACCAATGAGAGGGTATGGAGGGTCGTCCTTGCTGGAGCTCACCCACAACCGGTGGTCTTTGACGCAACCCTAGACAGAGAAAAAGCAAATCTGGTTTTGTTGCTTTTACTTTCCAAAGTATCTTCATAAATGCACATCTGTAGTGAACAGAAAGCTCCACAAACACTGTAGAGCTTCATTTTAAAACAAATGTTTGTGCTATTTTATAAAATTACTAATTTATATGTTAATTTGAAATTTTTTAAATGTTAAACTTGCTATGTTTATTTATATATGGCCACATTTAAATAGATGCTATTCTACAAAATGTTGTAAAACACTACAAATCTTGGGAAAAAGTGTCAAATCACAATACTGTGTATACAGGCTTCACACGCTGGAAATCCTTTTTTCAGACAGTCTAGTATTGATACTCTCAGCCATCGGATGCAGATGTTTAACAGAACTTATTTCTAAAGTCCAGACTGGAAAGTTACAGTAGAGGCTATTTTTTCACATCACTGATTCGCCTGAAACTGTTTTTAACATCACTTCAAAGTACAGTCACTAGATATTAAGCTGAGCATCAACAGCGGTCTTTGGTTACTCACCGATATGCCGAACTGCAGCAGAGCCATGCGGATGACATCAGTGGTGCTGTCAGTGTTGCTGACCGCGAGCGTCTTGGCCTGGTGGAAACATTTTGGAGACATTACGGAAATATGTAGCCGTTTGTGTGCTAATAAATGATAGCACTGCTGCCGATGTCATTAATTACCCACTTAAGGACAGACCAGGCGATCAGACAATATTCATTTCTGTGCTGACAGAAGCAATACAGAGGGAAAGAGGAGAAGCTTACATATGCACAGTTTCCAATATCCTTTGCAAATATCTTGAGTGGAATGGTCTTGGGGTCATCCTTCTCTTTTCCCTCAATTATCCGACTGAGTGTGGAGGAAAAACAAAGGAAGGAAGTCAGCGTTAAAATAAAAAGAGCATTTGAATATAAGTTAAGTTCATTTGGCCAGTCCAGTACTGTGATATGTGATATACTGTATATATATATATATATGATATTTATGTCAAATTAATCTTAGCTGTAAATATAGTATATGCATTAGCTTGACTGTATCGTGGTGGTTCAGATCTTATAACCTTCGTCAGGCCACTTGATTTCTTTGAATTCACAATGTGATAACTCTAATTCACTTTGAGATGGCTTCTGTTAACCACTTCTGTTACATCCAAATCTAATCTTTTATGCCCTGTAAGTGAAATTTGATTTGCAAAATAAACTTTGGGCTAAAAAGACTAAAACAAACCACTGCAAACAAAGAATTATAAGGTTTAACCAAGCACTTACCTTTTGATGAGCACCAACCATTTGTCCTTGTGCTCCTCGGAGCTGAAGAGAAGTAAACAGAGCGACACAACATAATCAGAGGAAATCGTGTTAAACGCAGTTGTCTGTTTTGCTCTGTTATGTAACTCCAGTTAGATAAAAACCACAGACTTCACCCCAGGACATGACTGGATTCTTTCTGATTGAAATTGAAACGGGTGGGTGTGAGTGTGCACAATGGAGGCAGGTGCAAATGTACAGCAGATTATATACAAATGTATTTGCATGTTTGTTCCTGCTGTGCGTGTGTGTGGTTATCTACTCCAGCCTTAATGTTGGTGGGTTCAGTGGCTTTACGACTGACTTAAGGGTTTATGGATTTTGTGGTTGCGTGTTCAGTGTTTTTAGTTCCCCTCTGTGATGTACATCTGAACCTCAGAACTCAGTGTACTCTTTCAGAAGTATAGTGAGTGACTCAGAGAGACATTTTAGAGATGTATTTAGCGTGCTTGGGATGAATAACTATCATGCAACTGTCAGCATGTTATGTAAGAGGAAATGAAATTACATTTTGCTCTTGTTTGATTAAATTAAAGATAATCTAGAAAAAATAAAACTATGGCTCATTTTCCAGACATTCTTCTTCTTGAATGTGAAAAATTTGCTCTTGCTGTACTGTGAGAGTGTGAGTGTGTGCGTGTGTGAGTGAGTGTGTGTGTGTGTGTGTGTGTACCTGAAGGTGGCCACACAGTTGCAGGTGGGCCAGCCCATGACAAAGCTCCTCTCTGGGTTGGTGCTTCCTTCACACACCTCCTCCATGCAGTTGGCGGTCCACATCTCACACACTCGGACTTGGGCCTTCACTTTGAAATGAGTGGGAGACCTGTAAAAAAAATAAAACAGTGTGCTACACATGCTTCACATGCCCCAATGTGATTGCCAAATTGCTAAATTAACAGTATAAAACTTAAACATTAAAAAAAAAAGAAAACAAAAAATCTTCACTTTTGAGAAGTTGAAATCTATTCATTTCCTGTGCATCTGCAAACCAATTAACTGACTTGTCATTTCAGCTTTAGACTCTGCAGCAAATACATTCTTCAAAAATGGCTTCCCGAAATATTTGTGTGTGAAAAACTGAAAAATTGAGTCCTCCTTTATCAAGGAGTTCCACTGGGAACTTACTTAGAGCCCCTTTAGTTTGAATCTGGCTCAGTTTTTGTCAAATAACATATTTCCATAAACCTCTGACATATGGCAATCTTACAAAAAACTTAATATAGAAGCAAAATATTAAAAGATTGGGCTATTTTCAGAGGTTAAACACAGGCACAAGTGTATTTATGCACCACTACATCTGTGATTACAGAGGAGAAAACTCCAAGTGCACACATGTGGAATGCACACATCCTCTCCCTGCTATTACACAGATATAAAGCTACACAAATGCACATACGCACAAACTAACCTCTTCTCCATCTCTTTCTTTTAAACACGCACATGCCAACACACATTCCTCTAGCTCACCCTGAGTTCAGCCACAATGTAATAAAGCCAATTATAGCGTATACTTTCTGTGCTGGAAGGGTCAGCTCCACCCACTGGCACATGACTCCCGGGACAGACCACAGAGGTCCTGCTGTGTCTGAACTGAGGGGTGTGTATGTACAGTAAATACATAAGTACACAGAGCTGAAGTCTGTTTCCGTCTCTACATGCCTATGTGTTTATGTGTGTGCATTAGTGCATGCATGCGTGTGTGTGTGTGTGTGTGTGCGTGCGTGTTTGGACTTCAAAAACATCAGTGTGCACTTTAAGTTTCTATTTTTGTATGTGTGTGTGTGTGTGTGGTGTAGTTTGTGGGTGGGGAGCCCCGTACTGTAGACCCAAGGCAGGCCAGTGTGGCTTTGATCTGAGCCAGGCTTCATATGGATTTAATTGGTTGGGAAATAATTACATACTGGGGAAAAATGAGTGAGAGAGAAGTGAAAGAAGCGGAGCAGTGAGGGAAGGAGAGTGGAGGGAAAGATGCAGCTCCATCCTCAACAGTTTATTGTTTGATATCAGTGTTAGACGAACAAATAGGAGCAGATGAAATGTTGCTTCTTGGTGTCTCAAATTTGTTTTACTATTTTTTCCTGTTTATGTCTCTTTGTTTCCATTTTCCATCTCACTCACACAGCCACATAAACAGACACTCACGTATTCTCTCTGTCATTTCACAAAACACAGAGGGAAACTTACTTGGCCTTGGCGACGAGCAGTGTGTCTGTGAAGAGGAAGAGGTGTCTCTCCTGCGTCTGCAGGCCTGTCTTTAGCTGCGTCTGGGCGTGACCCAGGAACAGGCGGCCTGGACACTCGGCCAGGAAGGCCTGGACAAGGGGACATGACTCTGGGCTGACTGGCGTCAGGCAGCTTTCCCTAGGGGGACAAACCCGAGACAAACACACAACACACACAAACAGCATCAAATACTCCATTGATCCCCAAAGGACAAATTTGTGGTTTGGATGTGTTTGAATGTTAGCATGTCTCTGAATAGGTTTTGAACCCCAACATTGGCTGTGGTTGGGCTCAAACTCTCTTCACCTCCCTCAACAGCTACTGTAAAACTACCACTGAGCAAAGCACTGAGCCTCATACAGACTGTAAAACTATGCATTTTCAGGGAGATCTCTCTTTTCAAGCTTCAAGACTAAAATACAAAAGGTGCATCAGCTAAATAGGATATAATTTAAATATAACAAGATCACAGCTGAACACAATATACTCATACACATACAAACACACACATTTGATGTGGGGAGAGTCATACTGTATACTCTCCTTTAATCCAGGGTTTTAACTGTGCTGAATTTGCACTAGGGGATTTTCCGCAACTCCAGAGCGCAGAATAACGATAGAGCAGCAAACATGTAACTAAAACACATGAGGCCCATGTTGCCGTGAACCAAACTTGGAAGAGGCTGAGAAAAGACCAGTGTCCAAACAGCTCGTACAGCCTCGTTAAAGTCCAACAGTGGAATATTTACCTCATTATTTACTGCATTTTCTCTTTACTGATTCCTCACAGTTGCTGCCACACACATAATCAAGCACTGTCAGTAAAATAAATATTGGACTTTTGGACCCGCAGTGCAATCGTTTGGCTACAAATCATGTGTTATGTTGCATAAGCTGGTTGGAAAAAAAAATCAGTTTGACATTGTTTGGAGCTGCACAAAGACAAATAGTCAGAAAAGGCTGAGAGAGGCTCCTGCCAGCGTCAATGGGACCTCTACTGTTAAACATGGGGTAAATAGTGACTGACTGCCATTTCATTTTGCAATGAATCGTTCATCCAGAAACCTCTGGTCCGTCTCTTTTGTCTTTTCCTTTTCTTCTTTCAATAAATCACTTCATGAAAACTCTTTGTAAAAGTTCTTTAAGAATACTTGCTTGCGAGTTACAGAAATACTTTCATTTTAATTAAAATTGTCTTTCTTGTATCTTTTTCCCTGCTGTCAATATGTGCCACTGATGGACAGATGTAAACAGTGGGGAATTTTTGGAGGAAGAGGAAATCGTTTGAGAGCTCCATCCTTTCCTGTTTACCCTCCACCACTAGATAAAAGACCTACATCTCCACTTACTCACACATATACACATTTTCTATCTCTGTCTCTGCCTTTCTGTGTCTCTTTCATGCACACAAACATGCACACACTCTCTCTTGCCTTCTCACGCATGCACACACCCACTTCTTAACATAGTTTCTACCTCTTCTTATAAATGCACATCCTTGAGGAGTACACACACACACACACACACACACACACTTCTGTTGGTAAGCCCCTTCAACAAAGCGCCAAGAAGTAGTCCAAGCCTTACAGGGAGGACAGAGAAGCTTGAATTCTCTGATACACCAAAATCCTTCCAGCTACATTGCGTAAGTGATCGGTTACGTAATTAATTAACGAAGAACAGACGACTGCGCTGGAGTGCTGGAGTCCCTTTTTCATCCGTCTTTGTGCGCCCTCCAAAAATAAATCCAAAGGCAGCTGAGTGAATTCAATTAAAAGGCATGAATGTAGGCAATTAAGCATTGAGGGTTGGCGGGATACGAAGAGTAAAGAAAATACGTCCTTTTCTTTCTGCTTTTTTGTTTTTTTACTTACTGTATCAAACACATGAAAACATGCTGCTTTAACAGTTACGTACAGAACTGATAGTTGCAAAACAATCAGCTATTGTTCCTGGAAATATTTTCCATGTGTTACACTGTGAAATGATTTCACCCCGATTAGAAAACATTTACATAACTCATGCACCATTCCACTTCTCTAAATCAAGCATTTCTTTCTTACTTTGTCAGGGAGATAAGAGGCTAACGCATGTAAATCTTCATTTTTGGTGTCAGCTCCTCCAGCTCGATGTCATTCTGTGATATGCCTCGATATTTCACCCTTTCCCTTTGTTTAAATTTCTTCTGCAAAGTTAAAAATGAGTCTTCTCTGTCCTTGACAGAGAAGACTCATTTTTTCAAAGCTGTGTCAGCCGGGGTGAAACACCGCTGCAGGGGAGATTTTTTTGGGCTCCTTGATTAAGTTGCACTGGGATTTTCAATTCAATTCCCATTGAGCTTATCAACTGCACACATCCTCGTCTGTTCTTATTGTCAAAGGAGATCCGGGAAATGGTCCTGTCAGCCCACACACACACACACACACACACACACACACACACACACACACACACACACACACACACACACACACACACACACACAAACACACACACACACACACACACACACTTATGCATATGGACAAACCTTCCTGTAAAGCCCCTTTCACATCTCGCTGCCCCAAAAAAGACAACATCTTCCGTATTCACCACACATCCCTCCCTCCTGAATGTGAGATTGACAGCTGAGCCGGCCGTCCTTTGAAATCTGATTGATGAGCAGTTAATGGCTCCATTGTACGTCATGTGATGTTGATAAATTGAGTGCTCGGCCCGCCCGCACATACATGGCCACCTTTGTCGAGGCACGGCTCTGTGGGGAGAACTGTTGACTTTTTGCAACACAATAAGGGGCCGATGTACAAAGAGGCGCACATCACCGCATACTAATGTCACAATGTCCCAGCGTGAATATCTCAGCAGCACCGGGCGAGATGTGTTTATGAAGGTTTTTACATCTTATCAGCATGAAACACAAAGTGGGATTTTGATAAGACAAATTTGCCTAAGAGAGCTTTCTGTCCTTAGACTCCATTAGGAGTTGAATCATAACATAGACAAAAAGAAAACAAAAACAATATAAATATAAAAGCACATTTGATTCACTCAGTGCTTAAATCCTGGAGGCTGGGTTCCAAAGATGAGTTCAGTCTTCCAACAGGTGTAAGTACAATACACCCTGAGGACAACAGCTGGACAAACAGCTGTAACTTTCTCCTCTCTCTCGCTGTTGATCTTTTCCTTCTTCTCCGTTCTTCTTCTTTGCCAACGTGTCCATCATCCCATCTCACTTTCTTCTTCTTCTATCTCTCCTACACCACTTATCCAACTCGTTTTTTCTCTTTCTCTCTCATTCAATTAAGCTATTAAGTTTCATCTATTAAAAAAATACCAAGACCTTAATAAACCTAATAGCTTAAATAACTGCCTCATTAGCATAACTCAAACTTTTACATCTCTTATCCACTGCACTGCTCCACAGTGACCGGCAACACCGTCACTGTGCAACAGCGTGACGTCACCTCAGCTGTCAAATGGTCGACCCTGACTGAGCAGACGGACTCCCTCCGGCCAGCCGTGACACACACTTATATAACTCTGTCCATCTGTTCAGCTTTATTAATAACCCTGCAAGTGACCCTGTGTGTGTGTCCATGTGTGTGTCAATGTGGACGCCATATTGTCCGTATCATCAGTTTGTTTTTTTTTTGTTTTTTTTTTATAGCAAATCTGATCAACCTGGCGTCTCAGTTCATTTTCAATTTCCAAGAGGCATTATCAACAGTTGCCATTTAAACTTCCTCCTGGAGAGACCTACGACCAATCAGAACAATGAAACGTGTAATGTAGCGCAGAGTTGGTAAATTCAACTTTTACCAAATCCCGTCAGTTGTTCTGCAAACACATCTGTCTTATCAACAGACGCTGTGAGTGCAGTTGTTTCTTCTTCTTTTGGAGCAAATATACCGTCCAGATTCAATAGACATCTACACATCAGCGGCAGCCATCTTGCCACGCCCATCTGCAAGCGCAAATAAGCATGAGCGCTCTGATTGGTCTGGTTTCCAGGTTAAACCCTGACTCCTTCACGTTTTACGTTTTTATGGCATCAACCCGAGAGGAGAGCGACAGAAGTGATGATGATTTACTGAAGATGTGTGTGCATGCGTGACTATGTGTATCTTTATAGGAATTTGTGTATAGAAAGTCAGAGAGTGTGTGTGTGTGTGTGTCTGAACTTGTCCGTGTGTGTGTCTCTGCATCGGGATGATTGCATCACCAGTAGTTTGACCTCTTTCTCCCAGACAAAGGCTGTCCAGACAAGCGACAACTGACAGCTCAATGTGTGTGTGTGTGTGTGTGTGTGTGTGTGTGTGTGTGTGTGTGTGTGTGTGAGAGAGGCAGAAAGAGAGTGTGTCTGTTAACATGCAGATTAAAGAAGATGTCACACACACACACATACACACACACACACACACACACCAGTCTGTACCATCTACTACATCCACAGTGGCAGCTTTTGTTCATCACTGCAACAAAACTGCAGTGAACATGAGAATAAAGACTTTATACATGGGATACATTTCTGAATTACTCTCCAAATATATCTATAACGAAACATTTTTGTATCTATATTTGTTTTTTCTTGGAAAAGAAACGATGAGAGAACAATGGCCCATTCTTCATAATTGGATAATTAAGGTAAGCTAATTTTATTGCTGATGATTTGACATTAACCTATATTTTTCTGTTCTTTGAAGCTGTTTTATATTAAAAAAAAAAGGTTTATTCACATTTATTAAAAAGGTTGTTGCTGTTACTGGAAAAAAGGTTTATAAGAGCAGTTATTTGTGCATCAGAAAACCAAAACAATGAGTTAAAAGAGGCTAAAAAGCAGGCGGACCTGCAGGATTGGGTGGTAATTCTCTGCAGGTTTTTCACTGCAAACGACGCCTTTCACATTAAACACCTCATTTGATCCACTGTTTATATCAAAATACCCCCCGGCAGCCTCTAGCCATTAAGATGAACAAGTGATCTGTGGCGAAGAAACACGAATAACACCACACTTTTAAAATCATGCTTACTGCTTCCTGCCCTTTTCACCCTCTGTCTCTTTACTGTTTCCACTTGACTCACCTCAACCCTGACCTGACTTGAGCTGCGCCAGATCATTTCCATAGGCAAACTATAATGTCATCGCTCGCCGACACACGGCGCTCTCCATATAACCAGAGGAAATACATACCCACGTACAGCGGGTGAGGTCAGAATACTGAAACGCTTCCCCCTTTTTTTTTTCAGTCAGAGAAGGAGAAGTGGCCGGCGGCTATCAACCATGATATCCTTAACAGAGCTCATTATTAAAACCAGGAAATGTCTTTTGCATGATGTGTGAGTGAGTGTGTGTTCATGTATTTGTCATTTTGTGGGCCCAACTGTCCTCAAACAACCAGAGAGAAAAAAAATAATAATCAGAAAGCAGAAATCACACAAACTTAGAGGACACTTTCTCTCTTTTTCCAAACGCTTACTGCAAATTGGGGCTCGAGTTTCGGGTGGAGATTAGAAGTAAGGTTAAATAAATACAGTGACATCCTGACAAGTATATTAATACAAACATGCATCTGTCTATTGGGTGCAAGAAGAATTAACAGAGAGGTTGTTGGGGTGTGTGTACATTGAGTGAATTAAACATATGTATGTGTGTGTTTTCTGTCAGGTGGTTTTTGGATTTGTATTTGTGTGTGTGTGTGTGTGTGTGTGTGTGTGTGTGTGTGTGTGTGTGTCTTTGTGGTGCCACTGTGGCTGAGGGTGAGTAGGAGCGTGAGCTCAAGGCTGTCAGCCAATCATATGTTTTTATGCTTTAGGGTACAGCCACCTTCTTCCCTCCAGTATAGATTTCACTGCCTGAGCGGAAGGGGACTTATACTCCAGCCTGAAACCCTTAATACCCTGAACTGTGAGGCTGCCGGCTGAGAGATGAGGTTATACTTCTGGATGAGGTGCAGCAGTGTGGGTATGTATGCATGTGTGTGTGTGTGTGTGTGTGTGTGTGTGTGTGTGTGTGGAGGTGATGTAAGTGACTGAGCTCAAGGCCAAAGAGCCTTTCAGTTCCTCCAGGCCTGATGGGAAAGGCAAGACAGAGAGAACAAAAGACAGAGTCACCTCGGATATAAAAGCTGTAAAATAAATAAAACTCTTCTAAAATTAAAATGAATTTAATCTCCATGGCAACAGGTGCTTGAAGTCATTAAATAAGAGCTAAGAGTAATTTTTTGCTTCTAGACTTGGTTTTATCCATGCAGCTATTATATGATGAACAAGTGAACAAACATTTATGACCCTGTTCATTCACTGAAAGTTAAAAGTGGAACAAAGATAAAAATAAAAACAAATAATACTTTATTATATAATATAATGTTAAGTATTGAATTCACCACTTGCTCTACGCAGTGATTTAACAGGACAATGCTTTTTCGAGAGCCTACATTATGAGTGTAGAAAATACTCACAACTAAAAGAGCTGCTCAGTTAGAGAAAAGTAAGAATGGCAAATACAGCAGTTACTTTCCTTCCTCTGTAATAACACCTGAGCCAGTGTGATGTGTTTGGATAAAGAGCTCAGGGGTGATGCAGTAATGAGTAAGTCACTGCCAAGTATTGTTGGCAGAACTGATCCATTTAAACTGTATTAATAGCGCTTTAGGGGTTTAGAGTTTTTATACAACAGTTACCAAATGGTTTGAAAAGATTTTACAAACCAAAAACAAACTTATGTCAAAAAAAAGAAAACAGAGAAAGATCAAAAACAACAATAATCTTCTTAAAAATATGGAAATAAATGACAGTTCCTGAGAGAAATTCACAATAATCACCGCCATGATCTTTCACCTTCACCCACCGTGAGTCACCTGACCGCTGCGACTTCACATCGCTCCCCTGGTAGCACCCCCTGCACACACACATCCGCACATTAATGAACACCTCGCACACTCACTGACATGAGAGGTGTTGACCCCTGATGACCCCCACTGGCCCGTACACCTCCTGATGAGAGGTCAAAGGTTAAGGGTGACAGCTGAAAGTGTCAAGCCCTGGCTCCATACCTCCTGAGACTTGTAGGACACACACACACACACACACACACACACACACACACACACACACACACATACACTGGTCAGACTTGGACAGACTAAGCAGCTCTGTCAGTCATCCTCTATTTGTCTTTCACTCAATAGCTTCCCTGTCTGTGCGCACACACACACACACACACACACACACACACACACACACACACACACACACACACACACACACACACACACACACACACATCACCCTCACACACACACACACACACACACACACACACGCACACACACACACACACACACACACACACACACACACACACACACAACCCTAAGAGCACTGACCCATTTACCAGTGTGGAGAGTTCCCCTCAGCACTGGTCTAAATGGTCCAGTTTCACAGTTCTGCCTGATGTCCCTCTGCAGCCACTAAAAACTGCCACTAGCATGGACACACATCCCAAACGTGTCAGACGGTTGCACCACAGCACACTTGCTCAATGGAGACAATATGATGCCGTAATAACCAAGATTTTAAAGCCTAAAACCCCAATTTGACTTCAAGCCCTTTTTTTTTTTTTAAAGAATCAAAGAGTTAAACATGAGACAAACAAAGTTTCTAGTAAATAAACGCTTTCCCCTAGGGGTTTGTAATGGCTTATTTCCCACCCTGTTAAAGGAAAAGGAAGGGATTTGTGTGACTGTGGGCAAGGGTGATGAAAATCCTGATAGCTCTGGGAGAAGTCCAACCCCCCTCTAAGTCGTGAATGAGTCAGGAGGGCCACCGTCTTGTTTCTGATGTGTGAGACAAATTTAAGGCAATGTGGGAGGAAAAACCACTTTCTTCATCCAGATTTCATACTCTACTTGACCTGCAGCTTCACTTTTTTTCTTTTCTAATTTCTTCCTTATCACCTCCTTTAAGTATGTAGTAAAACCCGTACGGCGGGTTTGAACTCTCCGTCAGTGATGTTTCTGCTGCAGCTGCCACTGGCTCCCGAGAGGAGTCATTGCTCCATTGAGAAACTCCAGGCCAACAATGATGTCAGCGCCACAGCAGCTCTTTATTATTGAAGCAGGTCGTGTGTGTGTGTGTGTGTGTGTGTGTGTGTCTGAGCTCATACCTGGATGTGCTTCTCGATCTGGTAAGTGCTTTGCTGATGACCAGCGAGGGAGCTGACTGTCGTCTTTGGGCCAAGGTCTTCATCTTCTACACAGTCAGAGGGAGAGAGGGAGAGAGAGCAGACGGGTCAATGCAAACGCTGACTGGAGGTGATGGTTGTGCACCATTTGGCATCCCATGACAAATAACATATGATGGTAAAGGAGAAGGAGAGCACACAGCCAGCACCTCCTGAAGCTTGCAGGAAATGTAGGCAGACAGGGGAACATACCAAACTCCAGTGTGTGTGTGTGTGTGAGTGTGTGTGTTGAAATGAAAGCAGAAGTGACGATAGCAAAGAGGGAAAAGAGGAAGTGAGCTGAATGGTTAAAGATGGAGGCAGACGGAAAAAAACAAGTGACAGAGGGAGATTGAAGTGGAGAAATGTGTCGTCTGGCAGTTGCACAATGTTTATGATCCCTCATCTACTCTCACTGTAACATGATAAATTGCAGACTCCCTCACAAGTATGACAGGCATCCGTGTGGCCGCCGCAGCTATTTCAATTAAAACTTAATCTATTTACAACATACCAAAACCACGTGAGTCATAAACATGCCGCCACCCCCCCAAACATCAGCACCCCCCCACCCAAGCAGACACTACTTTCATTCAATCTGGAGACAGTTGGAAAAAAAAAAAAAAAACCCAAAAAATCAAAAGTAGTGACAGAAATTAAATAAGACTTTGCTTCCTGAACTCATTTTTGCAGTGACTTATGGGTAACATTCCTCTCCTACTGAGCTGTTAAAGGAGGAAATGGCAAACACTGCATAAAATGTAACGCCATGGGACACGAGACGCAGTGTTTGGACAAAAGAAAGATGCATCAATTTTACATTTATTTCCAAAGAGACGTCACAGTGGCTGAAATAAAGTTTTAAAAAATAAAAATAAAATAACGACACATCGATGAAAAAGCACACACGTGTACACATGCATCGATTAATCACACAGCTACGAAACTGCCCTGACAACTATCTCACCACATTTTATCTAACTGTTAACTGGCTTTACAGTCAGAAGAGAAAAATACAGTTGAGGTTTCATTAGTTTCATGTTAGAAAGCTGATTCTGTAAAGTCAGCAATTTTCCACAAGTAATAGGCTTTTGTTATTCGCACACTTTAGTTTTTAAAAAAAAAAAAAGTTAGTGAAATCAGGCATGAAGTGTGACAGTAACATTCATAAAATGTCATGTTGATTCTGCCTGCAGGTGTGAGGCGGCTGACAGTGCTCTGATATGAAAACCCCCCTCATGGCGGGATCAAACAACAAAGCTTCATGTGAGAAAAAAAGAAATGGAGCCCTGATGTGTTAAATTATGCTGATTGTCTGCAGAAGCCAAAAGAGGAAGCCTGGACTGAAGGCACTCACTTAAAAAAAAAAAAAAGTGTTATCGCTTCAGATAACTCTGCAGCGTGAACACTGCTTCACCACATACAGGATACATACAAGTTATGCTTGTTCATGTCATGCATGTCAAGTACAGCTCGATATGAACCCTCAACATTTTGACACAAACATCTCAAGAATAACAACTGTGTGAGTGAAACGGAGGCATGTGGAAACTCTACATTCTGAGAGTTTGATAAAGCAGAGCTCCGGCCGACAGCTCATTTCTCACAACTGCCCAAAGGTGAGCAGAGCAGCGCAGGACTTTTCTAAACCAGGACAAAGCTGCAGCAGCTGCTCACCAAAAAAATTAGAAGAAAAACAGGGGGGGGGGGGCTACAGCAACAACATTTGTAGATTCATGAGACCAAATTTCACTAACAATAATCCCAGGGAGGTGGTGAAATACTTCAAGTGTTCCAACATGAAAACACTGATAAAAAAGTGACGTGTTGGGGGAGAAGATACTGGACAATGACACCATCACTGTCCTTGGAGCTGCTGACCGGAAGTGTTGTACAGTAACTGCAAACCATCACGGCTCGGTTTTGTAGTTCTGTAGCCAAGTTTACACGATGAATAAATCCGGGTTGGTATCGTTAAAACGCTTTTACTAAGGACATAAACTCTGCTCAGCCTTCTCTCTGCAGACACAGGCAAGACAATGAAGCATATGTCAAAGTACAAAAGGCAAACCTTGATTTCATCAGAGAAGATTTAGACTATCTGAGGATATCAGTGATGTTTTCTTATGATTTAAGTCATGACCACCAAATGCAGGTAATGGTTTACTTTGTAGATTTCTCATTTTTTGCAGCATTTTTTTTCTTTCTTTCTTTTTTTTGCAGCTCTCTTCTCACCTTTACTGCTCACATCCTGCAGTTACACATTTTCAACACGCGCCGGAGGGGGGCGCTGTTTACTACAAGTTTACCGATCAGCTGCTGGGGAATCACCTCTCCAATCTATCAATGCGCATCAGTCAATGACCAAAAACTGGAGAAATAACTGCAGCCTAACGGATTGCATTTAGAAGAAAGTCAGGAATCAAATGTAAAAAAAAAAGAGCTTTTAATGTTTTGTTTATTACTTTAATGAGAAGGAGCCAAAATTTAGACCAACTGATGGCTCAGGAGTCACTGACAAATCATCACTATCAACACATTATCCTGTTCTGGTGTTTGTTTGTTTTTCGACTCTTCAGCTCAGTCAGATACTGTTTCATTCAGGATAATACGGACAAACAGGAGGCCATCAAAATCCAGTCATTAAAGGAGGAGTTTGGCGTTTTTCTCATTTAATTTAAGTCAGAGAATGAGAAGATTATTACAAAATATCATAATGCAAAGGCTTTTTTTCTTTACACAGTTAAAAAAAAAATTCTCCTATTTGCACAGGAGATCCAAAAGGAGTTTTCAATGAGCAAAATCCGTTAAATAAATGAAACGTGCTGAGTGATGAATGGTGGGATAAAGGTCCAATAAAAGAAACCTAAAGCCAGTGTTTAAATCTCAGTCTTTTAATTAAAACGCGCGACACACAACAAAAGCTCTCACCTCCATCAACCTAATCATTATACAGAACAAAAACTGAGGTGGCTTGAAGCTCACCACACAACTGCAGATCTGCAACACCATTAAGAAAAAAAAATAAAAATCCAGTAATAAATGATGGAAATAAAGCAATTAAAAGGAAACAACTCCTGGATTTTATACAGAAATCATGTCTCTGTCTTTACACTCACTTTTCTTGCAGGGATATTATAAGACTGCGATGCTGGAACAGTAAAATATCAGTTTCACATCTCATAAGACTGTAATTTGATTATGCTAATCAATCCTTAATGAGCGCATCGGCCACCTCGGTGCGCAAAAACGCCAACATCAGGACGCAAAAGTGTGTCCAGAGTCAATAAGCCATCACCTCTCACAAAGGTCCCACAGAGCAGCGTCACTGTTACCTTTTTGTTGTCGGTGAGCGCCTTGCTCTCTCCCGTCAGAGAGTCGGACCTGTTCTGTCCCATGGTCCCCTGCTGCGGTGACATGGTTTCCATCAAGGCTGTACAGATCCACGGGGCCGAGCGCACCGACGGTATATTCCCATGATACGAGTGTTAGGTCCAAAGTTTATCCGGCGGAGAGCAGAGCGCGAGACCGAGGAGAATCCATGATGGAGCGCGAGCTGATGCAGAGGAAGAGGATGAGAAACCAGGGCGCTCAACTCCAATCTGTGCGTCTCTGTGTGGGCGCTGTTTGGTCTGAGCGCTGCAAGTCCGGTCCGCCCCAACTCACTCTAATGTTGTCAAGACAGAGGGGCTGTAACACGGGACTTCCGCTCTTACTTTTCAGAATAAAACACGTGTTTACGTACCCTTACCACTTTTTGTGTAATATGACGTAACACATTTAAATAAGAGTATAAAAAGGACACATAGCTGACGAATGTTAGCAGCACTAGTACAAGCGAGTGAACCTCCAGTGTTACTTTAACACTGACCACGACTGAACACCTGAGGTAAGCAGGTAACTTCCTGGGGCCCAGACCTCAAGTGCTCCTGTCAGCTGGTTTTGATTTAATTACTTAGAGATGAATTAAGGAATCAGCTCCACCAAAGATCCTGGTTTATTGGCTAATTTTGTGATCATATTTTGTATAAAGTAGCTGTTTCAAAATCTATTTTGAGGAGGTTTATTGTTTTAGTTTATCTGGCCATGAAAATGACCATTAATAAGCATCTGATTAAAAATTGTTTTACTGACCAAAAAGTTTGCATCAACAAGGTATTCATCTTCAAAACTTGCTTTAGTGGATCGGGTAACAAAGATAATTATGAGAGCAACAGGATATTACAAATATACATAAGGAATTAATTAGTTTTTCTTCAAATACCAAAAATACAAGGAGCCTGAAACACCATGAAAAGAGAACAACTAACACGGTGAATGTAGCTTAGAAAAATCAGTATGTGAATGACTTCTTTATGTGTATGTTCCAAACACCTACATCAATAGAAACAACAAGAACGAGAAAATCACTCACAATTACAAGAAAATCCAAAATCTTCTGCCTCTGTTAGATCGAGCTATCTATGTAACACCAGGTGTGTTGCAAAGGTGGTAATTTTCTGGTCTTTTATCCAATGTGTGTGTTGCTTCACTTTTGTCGCTGATCTTTTAATTACTTTAGATTATAGCTGAAATTCTACTGTAAATATTTTTCGTATTGCAACAAAAAGAGCTTAATTGATGATTTACATGTTGATTTATGTGTTTTTTTAATGGATGATCCGTCTCATCAAGTTCAAACCTCTTTTATTTTGAAGAAAGAACCAACTCTGGGTCATATCCTGTCTGTATGTCCTGATGCAGCTCATGTACAGTATATGAAAGCATGCTTTGGTTTAACTCTTGAGATTGTTTGTGTACCTACAAGTGTGATTTTTTTTTTTCTTCACATCACATGTTTTCCATGTCTGGCAGTCAGTGCCACATAGAAGCTGACTGTTCAGAGCGGTTTGCAGAGCGTCCGGGGCCAGGTGTAAGAATGTGCTCCCAGGGCCAAGAATAACATGACTGATGAGGAGGAATGTCCACAGTATGACACATTTGACACATTTGCCTCATAGCTACAGCTACAGTTTGCCTCGCTGTAGGGTAACTGTTTACTTTCAAAAGCCCGGTGAAGGCGATTGGAGAGCGCACACCTCCAGTGAAGCCGAAGCGATTTGTTGACCGTGCAAACAGAGTTTTAGGATTTGGGATTAAATCTCCATGTCCGATGGTTTCACAGTTAGATCCTAAATATCTTAGAGAGATCTGGAAGTAGATAACCATTTCCTTGGAAATCCACTTGCTAGTTTTGGTCATTTCCTTTGAACAGAAAAGCAAAACCTGCATCTGTGAGTCTGTTTGCCACTGTGTACCTGACAGGATTGTTTTGCACAGCAGCCTATTGTAGGCAATTGTCTCCTCTCTACAAACACAAAGGTATGCAACAATTGTTCCATCTTATCTGTCCTCTGAACAGTGGCATGCAAACGATGATAAGAACATTGATAGTGCTCGGCCCTCCTCTTTGATCATGTCACCAGCTGCATGAAATAACAGCCGGGGAACACTGTTGGCCTCAGTTGGGAGAACGGCCTCAACTCTTGATGAGCAGAGACCTGCATTCCTTCTCTCTGCAGCTAAATCATCCTTTCATCAAGGGTCCACCGTGGCCAAGTCATATTGGTTCTTGAATTTAAATTGCCGTACTTTTAGGGGTTAAATGACCGCTTTTGTTTCCTGCTTCTTCTTCTTCTTCTTCTTTTTTTTCTTCTCAGGAGTCGCCTGTCTGGAGGGATTCAGAGCAAGAAAGAAGAAAAAAAAAAAAGCAAGACTAAATTGAGGGTGTGTCAGAAATGTGGTTGGAAACGCCGCTGCTTGACCACGACTGCCACTGCACTGTTTTGTTTCTGCCTCCTCAGTGTTCCACTCTGTCACTGGAAGACGCCGGGTTGCGACACATAAAAAGTGTGTGTCGGAGTGGGGTTTTTTTTTTTTTTCTTCCCCCAGTATCCATGGCAAAAGCAACACATTTTCTCTGTGATAAGTTAAAAACATTCAGCTCCAAATCCCCATAAGTGGGTCACACACACCTCGCTGTCAGACAAGCAGCCAAACACTCCAAGATTCCCCTCACACCGGCGCTGAGCTCGGCCCGAGTGTGGCTTCAGGTCAGGGAGAAACTGGAAGCCTAATCTGCGCTAGTGAGTCTCCTCTTGAATGAAAGACACAGAATCAATATGTGTCCTTGTGAATATCATCTGACATTTCCTTTGAAGTGTGCCTGAAAGGGAATGTCTCCGTCACGCCCGGGGGGTCAGGCTATTGAAAACCTGAAGCCGGGGAGAGTATTGACTTGGACGGAAAACAGTCGATTCCAGAGAGAGAAAATGAGCTGGAGAGAGTCCAGGGCTCTGACAGGAGCTGCACATGGAGGCTTTATTCCTGTCTGCACAGGGTTGGGGTGTTAGGGTTGCACTTTGCACTGTAAATGCATGCGTGAATGCATCCACACACACACATTATACATAGCTGAATATCTATTTAAAGAGCACTTTGCCCTTCTCTGCCTACCTCCTTTGAAAACAAATACACATGCTGGCATTCAGGGAGGGTGAGGGGAGGCCACAAGGACGTGATGAGCAGCTTTAGAGGCTCTAGTGGAAAGACGGACGGATGGATGGATGGATGGCAGAGATGCTTCGACCAGACAGGGAGTTGCTGTGACCCAAAACAGCATCCGCTACCCTGGGATGGACGCCTCCACCTCTACCACCACCACCACCACCACCGCTGCTGCTACTTTAAGATGCCAGACTTCCATGTTGCCTGCTAAGAATAAATAAAGACCCACTGTTTCCCTTTTTTTCTTTTTTTCCCTGAACAGTATCATGCACAGGTTTCTGGGCGACAAGTGTTTGAGGTATGGCTGTTCAAATTCTGGAAAAAATGACATCTGGGTGGGAAATAATTTTATGGCATTTTTTCTAACCCGACTGCCTTGTAGTTTCTGGTCACTCCCAGTGTTTTTAAACAGCAGTATAAAGCTTAAGAATAGCCTAAGAACTAATATAACTGCTTGTAGCATCTTATCCGTCCTACACAAAGCTCTTCACTGTTTAGAGTATAATGTTACATTGATGAGAAGCCCTTTCAAAAAAAAAAGAAAACAAAAACTGAAAGTAAAGACATATTTCCACTGTTCACATTCATCTGTTTACTCCTCGGGGATTTACGATGCAGCCTTTAAAGCCTCTGAGAAAAACATAAGGGTCAGTTATAGAGAACAAGAAGGCGGAAATTTCAGCATCACTCTCCTCTACCGTCAGCGTGTCTGTGTCTCTTTCACTTTGTGTAAACATTGCGGCTCGGAGAGGGCCGAGGCAGATCGGGCCCTGGAGACGAGCGGAGGAGACAGACAGAGGCGAGCTCGGGTGAACCAGACTGAGACAAAAGCCTGTGGTGAGAGGGAGTGACTCAGGTGGAGACTGAGACGGAGGGAAGACATCTAAAAAACATTGTGCTGGAGATGGAAATTGCGGGTTAGCTGACCACTGCCTCCAACAGACCTGGCTCGGGTGGTATGATGTTGTCAGGGTTTGTTTTTAAGCATCAAAGCAACCATTGGGTTTTCATCCCATCAAGGGCACTTTAAACTAGATAACTTCTTTAAAGTTGTAAACTGTAAATCAACCTTCAGTTTGTTTTCTTTGTTTTGAGCCAAAGTTTCATTTGGTTTTCTATTTGGTTGATTCAGGTTCTAACTACAAAATTACAACCAGCCCTTGGTTATTAAAGTCTTGTGACTTAAAAAGCAGCTGGTTTACTGGATAGTTTGTCTCATCTGTCATCCTGTCAGGTCAGAAAGTTATTTACAGTTTCTGTAATAAACTTCAGAGGAGAAAAAAAAAAGAGCTGAATGTGCAACAAAATACTTTTATATAAAGTTTTGGAGGATGCATCACTGGGGCCGGGACTGCCTTCCCTGACAGTGGCCCTGTTCAGACCTGGTATTAACATCCGTCTCAGGTGATCTGATCACAAGCGGACAGCTCAAAGTACAGGTGTGAACACAGCCGAGACGCGTTGAGGACACATTTGGATACCACATGTGAACACATTCTTTTAGCAGTGTGAACGCAGAGCTGTCCTGGGCCACGTTGAAGGACCTCCTACTCAACTGACGTCCTCTGCCGCAGACTAATAAGTCCTGCCGCAGTTTCATAATGAACAAAAAATATTTAACTATTTCAAATGGCTGGGTTGGGGTAAGGGCGGATGGTACAGGGAGTCGGGACTTTGACTCAGGGGTTTGTGTCCTGTGTTTTACCACATTGGTCGACTAAAACAACTGGTAAAAAGTTAGAAAAAGATTAGTTAAATATCGAAAAAGTCAACGTGTTCAGTCTCATCGCTGCCTCAACACAACGTGGTTCTGGGGAAACATGAGAAAACTAAATGAGTATGAAACAACTCGGATTGATGCTCTTTAATGTCTCTCAGAGACACATATCTGAAACCAGTGGCAGATAAACACTGTGGCTTGAGCTCACCACTTACAACTGCAGATCTGCCAATACACCATTAAGAAAAAAATAAAAACTTCTGTCTCCGAGTAATAAATGATGAGAATAAAGCAATTAAAAAGGAAAACAACTCGCTGGATTTTATAAGAGAATCATTCGTCTTCGACC